ATTTTATGGATAGCTTTTCCAATAGTCCATTGACTTTTTGTGTTCTTAGATGCTGGTCCTATCTCAGTGATTTGGGTCCAGGGGTGACTAACCTGTTGAACGGATATGCTGCTTATCTGTTGCCTTCATTCTAACTGTTCACTTTTGTTTGTGGTGACTGTGACAATATGTATGGCTACTGCTCTCATCCTGTTCAGGTTAAGTGGCAATTCAAGATCAAGCCTGTGCCTGCTGTCAAGCCAAGGCCGACGACAGAAGAGAAGGCCCTGGAGATTGCAAAGCAAATAAACCGTCAGAAAATAAAGGAAAAATACGCAGACCCTAGATTCCAGCCATTCAGGCTCCGCACACTGGAACGTCCTACCAATATTGAAAAGCTTCGATTAGAGGTAAGAGTGAAGGATTTTCAACTACTGGCAAATCATGGCTCCCTGTAGCACTTCATGCTGATAAGAAACTACAAGTTTTGATGTTACTGTGATGACATGACGGATGTCTTTTTTTTTTTTTCCTTTTCTTTTCTTTTCTGTTTGTTAAACCTTGTTTCGTAATTTCAGTTTGTTTGTTGTCTCTTTTTCTGTTTTTGACATGAATTGATGACAATGTCGAATACCATTTTTCACCATCTCCTTCGTACGCCTTTCTTTTCCAGAAAGGTCCATTTTTTTTGGCATTTTTTTTATTTGCTGAAAAACGGGCGTTAGCATCCCTTACATAATTTAGTCACCAAACGCCTCCCTCCGCTATGGCTTAAGGGATCCTGAGACAGTGGCGTTGATTGATTCCTAGGACGGATTTACCCCTGCTCCACCCCTGTTCCTTTCTGACCACCTACTATTCCTGGGTCTCTCTGTCGTTCTTCTGAACTTTGCAATATATATATCAGCCCCTCGTTTGTTGTCCTCTTCTCCCTCTCTGCCGACGGTTTACCGGGCAGTTCTGTTTGACGATATATATCTATTAACTGTTTTGGGGCAACCATTGTGAAGGCTGTCTGCCTGAGGGCCATAGCTGGGAACCGTCTCCAACTCAAAGAAATTGCAGGGTTTGTCATAGGCGACTGCCACAACCTATCAGTCCCTTCCTGTTCCTTCTAGGAGCCTTTCTGCTGCTGCACTCTTCCTGATGGGCCCAACTAAGCCCTCTGACACACCCTTACCACTGCTGGTGCCTCGCCTTCCCTAGTCTCCAGAATGCATTACAGGTCCTCTCTTTTACACATCATTCTGTTTGTATCTCTGTGTGTGGAAATTCCTTTCTGGTCGAAGTGACATTTTCAGAAGGTGGAAATTTCTTTCTGGTCAAGTTCGGCATTTCCAGGCATTTGCCTAACTTTCATTATGCGCCCTGTTGTATCCCCGGTGAACTTAAAAATTTTGCATCCTTCTGCTTGTGGCAGAAAGTGAAGAGATCAAATGTCACAGGAAACTGAGTCCATGTACCGGCCTTGTCGTTCTGTGATCTGTCTGTGTGGAGAAAGGTTGAAGGGCAAAGAGAGAAGGACCATGAGTTCATTCCTCCGAGGGCAAGACCAGTGCCTTCATCACCCACCAATCAGGTGAGGGTCAACGATGTAATCTGGATTTGGATTTGAAACAGCTCTTACCCGGTCTGTATCCATTCCATCATTCTTTGACAACATAATGTTTCTCTAAACCTAGAGAGCAAACTCCAGTGTAATGCTTAGCAGTCTTGGCTTACAGAAGTGGAAATATTAGACCCAGGTCATTGTACGGCAAAAGTGAGCTTGGCTAAGCGACTGAAAACATCTGTTATTGCTTTATGTGGCTTAGAAGTTGCCTTCGAAAGAGCATGTGTCTATGCATTCTATTTGAGTGAAGGCCGCAGGCTGACTACATATGGCAATTTGTGGTACCGAGTGCATCCCATAAATGAATCTATTTGAGTGAAGGCCGCAGGCTGACTACATATGGCAATTTGTGGTACCGAGTGCATCTCATAAACGAAGAGAGATAAAGTAGCAGGCACACTGTTGAAAGATGCCATGTACTCGGGCCTCTCACAGCTATTAACAACTGGGGTTCATGGTTCATCCTCTTACTGGATTTGCTTGGCATTCTATCAATCTCCCCCTTTTTTTTTGTAAAATTCCTGTAGACGCCTCAAAAAAGAATCCCGTAGCTCTCACAAAAGTAATCACAATTAAAGGCTTGGGTCACGTTGGGTGCGTATTCAGGTAAGGGAGAACACCTTGCCATCATGAAAACACCTGCCGTTACCATAGTGGCTGCATGAATCAGAGCTGATACTCTGGGGTAGGGCCCTCTACAGTGTCCAGTAGCCAAGTACGGAGTCCTATTTATGTGGATTTCCCTACAGGTTTAATAAAGAGTAAAACACAAATAGACGTTAGTGCATGATTTTCATATTAAAACAAATGAAAGAAGGCTCCCAACTTCCCACACAATGATTGAAAAGTCTACTGTTTGAAAAATAACCCCCGGGGTGCCCTGTCACCGCAGGGCAGGGGAAGGGATGTCATGTATGCCAGGAAGTGGTAGGGGAATAGGAAAGAGAGGCCAGGGGGAAGTGTGCGGAAGTATTCAAGCAGGGAAGGTGGAAGTAGGTGGTCCTTAAAGACCGATGACCGGATAGCAGCAGGCTAACCTAGGTGGGGGTGAGGGGAGGTACATACTTCCAAGTGTGGAAGTAATCAATGCCGCCCGCTCGGGTCTCTCTACCATAAAGGAGAGAAGTGTTGGAGTGAGTTGCATTTTGTATCTCGACTTGCTGGTGGAACAGGAACCGTACTGATGCTCCCCAGAATGGATATGGAGCTAGAGCCATAAAGGCCCTGTTTTTTTTTCTTTTTTCTTTTTTCTTTTTTAACAAACAAACAAACAAAAACAAAACAACCCATAATACCAACAGCTAATCCAAAATTGCAATTGTTTTACTCACGTAGGAACTCTTCTTTGACAAGTACACTTCACACCGAATAAAGTGGCCGACATTGTTAGAGACTGCAAAGCTATGCAGGTCATAATGGAGATGATCTACTAAGAGAAACTTCTTGATTGCAGTCATGCTTTTCAGTCTGGTAGAGACTCTGCAGCTCTGACTCTTGCAAGCCCCATGTAGGAATAAAAGAACACCAAATGTGGGCCATAGAAAGCGACATAGCTAGCTGTTTTGATTTTGTAGATCACAACGTTTTCATGCAAATTATTGAAATGAGATTGCCTGTGAGAAATTCCTAACACTGGTGAAAGGGTCGCTTTAAGTGGGGTACAAAACCAACGTAGGCAAAGTGCATATTGCCGGCTTGGCAAAGTGCATATTCACGGCTTTCAAAAAGCTCTTATGCGCCTGTGCTTCGCGCGAAGTTCAGATTATATCATCATCCCAAGCAGGTATGTCTGGCGTGTAGTTGTTGAGGGGCGCAGTGCATGTATAAACGCATGCATGACTTCATTCCCTGCTGATTGTCGGCACCAATGCATTCATGATTTTGCTTGCATCACTTGAAGGTTCCCGCACATAGCTAGGTTTTGTCTTTTCTTTGATGCTGTTCAAATAAAATGCCCCTTTGTCAAGGAATTTCGCTTGTTCATGTTGTCCGCTAAACTTGGTTTTCCTTTTAGCTACTTGCCACCTTCTTTTCAAGCCAGACGGGACCTGATCTTCCACGACAATAATTGAGTTTGTTTCATACACCCTTGCCTCTGTGTAGGCCGAAAGCCATGGCTCTGGCGCGGGTGCACACACTCATGCTGTATAGCGTATAATATGACACTCCATACAAACAAAGGTATCTATTGTACGTATACTCGTCTCTAAGTCATTGGTCTTTAATATTCTGTTTTTATTAATCGGAAGTAGCTCCACGTAAAGTCTCTGAGGATCCTACTGACAAATTCAAATGTGGCAGGCGTGCACAACAGCACTCACTTGAACACGAAGTGCAGGCTAACAGCGCCACGACGTGCAGCAATTCGGACCATTGCGAAGTGCAAGCGCACACAACAGCGGCACGAAGTGCAAGTGTGAACCACCTGATGTAGTAGTATACCGTAAGATATTTCAGACTTCTTAGTGCATGGCCATTTTTCAGCTCAATACCTTATCTTAAGGCATCCATTCTACTTGAAAGGATGCACAAATCTCAGTAACCGCAGTTCAGCCGCAAGTCCCAGTCTCGAATCCCAGTCCCGAACCCCAGTCTCGAGTCCCAGTCCCAGATCCCAACCTTGTGTCCCAGTCCTGAGTCCCAGTCCTTGTTCCATTGGCAGCCCGAGCCACATGGACAATATTCACGAATGCTAAAGACGAGTTGTTTTCTACAATGATCACAGATGCCTAGGGAGGTTTGTTAAGTAGGCTGCGGCATGACGCCCCTGCTAGACAACAGCAATGGTTTGGAAAGTCTATTTTCAGGGGGGCACAGCGAGCTTCGGCAAAGGTAGCAGAAGTTGTTAGGCCAAGTGTCAGTCAGTCCAGTCAAGCAGCCAGATCAAAGGAATATCTGTAAACTTCCAGAAGCAGCAAGCAACGGCCAGGGAAGCAACCCATAACCAGCAGAAGGAGTTTGGAAGATGGATCACCACGGTTCATCAGTACAAAAGCCCAGCAGCGCTTGGACGTCAATGGCGCTGGGCGCCATAACTATAGCTGCTGTGGTCTTGTGCATTCGAGTGATGGCGGAGGAAGTGAGAGTGAGCGTAGGGCAGTGTAGTCAATGTCGCTGTGCGCCATAACCATAGCTGGAGGATGAGACAGAGAGAGAGAGTGAGAGAGAGAGAGAGAGGAAGACATTCTGAGAGACGAGTGACAACTGTGAGCATGAGGAGCCTAGAGAGAGAGAGAGAGAGAGAGAGAGAGAGAGAGAGAGAGAGAGAGAGAGAGAGAGAGAGAGAGAGAGAGAGAGAGAGAGAGAGAGAGAGAGAGGAAGTAGAGAGATGCTTACCTGCATATTGGGGCGGACATAGCTGCTGGTGACGAAGAAGACAACTAAGTTTGGTGTTGGCTACCGAGACTATTTTCGGACTGCGTATTCTCCTGCCTGTTTCATGTGCGTGCGATGTGACACAAGACTGTGCTCAACTGTTCCATGCAAGGTGGTCTCATTGCATCTTTAGTGGGAAGGCAGTAACCACTTCAAAGTCCAAACAAACATGATATGTTAGCAGTCATTCTACCAATGTCTCCCTTAGGGTAGAGGACATGGGCATTATCTTCTTTGCATACAGACACAGTCATAAGGTCCATCTATCCATATCTATATCCCCAAGGGGAAGATTTCCCAAGGGCAATTGGCTGCTCACAGGCTGTTTGAATACAAGTACATGCCTGACCCTCGTGGACGAACAGCAGACATCATTTTAGAGATGTGTGCCACGATGTCCAGGCGGCCAGGTGGAAGATATGCCTCGGGTCATGCACGTGCGTTCTGACACGGGCATTCTTCTGGCTGCAAACTCCAGAGTACTTATTCAGGTGTTGTTCCTTGGACCCACAGCTCTGAGTTATTAAGGTACATCAGGAGTTTGCTCCCAAGGCCGATGCAGACATGTATTAGGATCTGCATGCATAGCCTATGTAGGGGCTGTCCCTTGGTCGAGCTCTGAGTTACAGCATACTCACACCAGGACTTTTTGGCAAAATCTGGTCATTGTTGGGGTCAGATACGTTGCGGAAAGTGAGTATGCCCTTATGAGCAAGATGTCGGGACTCGGGAGTTTGCTTCCAAGGCCGACTCATTAGGGCCCCCAATGCCCCCATGCATAACGTAATTAATAATTATTGATTAGCTCTGCATGTACTATCTACGCACAAGTTGACCCATCTCTGACTCAACGTGTTGACCTAGGTCCTTAGTCACAAGGATTAGCAGCTTCTCTTCTGTGGAAGCAACATGTACGATCATCCTGCAGTCAGCAGGTCCTCCACCTTAATAGAACACCCAATCACACCAGCTGCCCTAGCTCAGTTGGTACACCCCTGAACCTGTGTTCGAACTCCACTGGAAGCAGATAAGTATTACAATTCCGAATAACCTAGGGCCGGTCAGTTCGATGATGGTATCTCAAGGCCGCCGCCCTTTTTAAAAGAGAAGGAATAAAAAAGAAGGGGGATTAAGGAAAGGAGAACACCCAATCATTATAGCTGTATCATACTATACTCAGCAATAATGATTGGACGTTCTATTCGGGTGGAGACGGTAGTCAGACACATGACTGTCAAAGACTTAGTGTTATGAATACCAGTCAGAAAGTACAGACGATACCGAGTCAGACGCAGTGTGAGGATCGAAGGCAGTAGGCGTTTCAAAAATGAGGGGGGATTTAAACCCAGCATGATCTTAGTATCAGGAGGGTGGGGTCAAGAAAATGAGTCCTCTTTCGAAGGTGCTGAGAGTATCCTAGAAATCTAGGGAATGTTGGCTTTGGTACCCTGAGAAAAATGGGTAAGCATCTTGTTTGTTTTTTCTTTTCTGCTTCTGTTTTGATCTGGAGTATGTGAACACTTTTTTTTTGTGTGTGTTCATTATCTATGACAGTACAAGCAAAAGAAATGATGCTGGTAGCCTGGTGCTCTTTTCCGGTTGTTCCAACCAACATGTTGTGACTTCAATCTGGTAGTCATGCCATGCATCCTGCTTCTTATTTTCCACACGCTGGCAGTGATTCACATGAGATTATTACAATGGTGCGATTGGGTCAGGAATGAATTCAATGAATCCATAAAGCCAACTTGTTAATTTTATAATGAAGAAATGATTGTTGGATGCTTTTTTAAGTGCTTCCAAGATGTGTTCTCCATCGCTACATCATGCCATCTTTTTTCTTCTTTTAAGATCAGTGATCTGATGATACTAATCATTGTATCCCACAGGATGTCAATTTTTGTAGCCTTGAGCTCTTTATCAATGGAACTGGGTGTTTACCACCACCGTTAAGGTCGCAGTGGGTATAAACTTTAAACTATAAATCCCTCCTCATTTTTGAAATGCCTATTGCCTTCGGTATCATCTTTGGCACCACTAATGCAATGCTTTTCCACATTTTGGGAGCGATTCATGTGGAGGTTAAAACTTACAATGCGATGACCAGCAACAAATCCAGAAAGCCACACTGTTAATTTCAAAATTGAAAATGATCAAGATTTGATTAGCCCCAGTGTTTCCATGATTCTGACTGAGGCCTTGGTTCTGCGGTTCTTCATTCACCCCACAGGTGAGGCACACAACATCGACAATACTCAGGGAAGATGCGCTATACAAAAGAAGGATGGAGGAGGAAGCAAAAATTGTCCGCGCATACGAGATGGAGCTACGAGATGCAACAGAGTATGTTGCACGGATGGTAAGACACATTGCGCTCATGACACTTACGAAACAAGAAAGACAGATCTCTTTTCTGTCGAATATAGAACTTCCGCAGCTCGGGTATTCCCGGTATTGTATTGAACTTTGAAAGTGCCCAGTGCTTCTCAAGTTAGCCACTCAGTTTGAGAATTTGACGCAGTTGAATCTGGAGGATAGGTGTTTGATGCTTATGGTAGAGACTTACAAGTCTGCCTGAATTCAGGATAAGTGAATGGAACATACACCTCTCTTTTTGATGACAGGTATATCATTTATGTGTACATACTACATACAAAGATACAATGTCGTTGGCCTTTGTACATCCCACTCACCTCTCAAGTCCTATAGTTCCATATTCAGTAGTGCTATTGAAGGTAAGAGGTGAGTGATAGAGAGCTGAAGGTCTTCGGACAAAGATCGTTAAGGCTCTCTAGGGTCCTCTTTCAGTTCTCCTGCAGCATGGGTTCTCTTCTGGGGGTTCACTGCATTCTTGGGGCCCTTGTCACCTCTCTGGCGTTCCTGGCCTACTTGGTGTGTATGGACTCGATGCAGTCGTGATCTCTGGTCCTATCAGTATTCTCTCATCCTACTGTGTCTGCTAGATCTTGCTCGCCTCCTCTGAAGTGTACTCCTTGATTGCTATTAATGGTTTGGATGATCGTTCTGAAGTGCTCTGCTGCTAAATGCAGTCTTTCTTCCTACCCAGGATCAGTTTTTGACTTGAAATCATGATACGAGCATGCTTGGTTGCTTCATGCGCATTTTTTTCTCCCCCCTTTCCCTCCCTGTTTCTGTTCGTATCTTGCTGTACAACTGACAGTTCATATTGCTGATGAGGTGGAAGCTCTTTTGGTCGCATGATTGATGTGCGGATGGTATTGCTAGACATATCTTCCAAGAATCTTGGACTTCGCACCCTGGGTGCATAACTTCCGAGCAATGGTGGTTGCACCTTCATGAGCAGGGTTTGGAGTTTGAACAGGGTCTGGGTTTATCACACCTCGAGTGCATAACGGTCGCCGGATTACTTGATTAATCTGGGGTTTCTATTCCCTCGATTTGTTCCGTCCCCTCTCTCCCTGTTTGAAAGCATCTTCCCTCTTTATTTTCAAAAAATGTTCCTCCTCCTCTCCCCTCTTCCTCCCCTTTCTCTCTCGCTCGCCCTTCATTTCTTTCCCTACATTTCCCCCCCACCTCTCTCTCTCACTCTCTCTGCTCTTCCTCTCCGGTATCCTTTCTCCTCTTGCTTCCTTTCTCAAGTAGGTTATCAGCAGGAAACCAAAAAGCGGTACGGCTGCTACTAATGTGCCCTGGGCAGCGACCGAGCTGTTTGGGATCCTCAGAGACTTACTCGAGAATTCTCTAAATCAAATGAAAGAAAGCGCGCTCTTGTGCCTCCGGCCTTCCATACTTAGGGGGTTCCGAAGGCAATGTGGTTGTTCTGTTAGTGGCGATGACGTTGCTGGACTAGCCAAAGAAGTGGTCACCTCAGATGAGGAGATGGACATACCTGTACTTGCCCCTTGCAGGTTATAGCGTTAAAGGGGCTCTTGATGACATGAAGCACAAACAAGCAACGGGCAAGGATGGCAAAGAGCTGTGAAGTGAGGGCGAGGGAAGCTTGTCGAGAAAAGGACAAGGATGAGGGCGATGAGGACACCGTTGGGAAACACGCGTTTTTTGTCCGTGAGGGATGATCCGACCCTTGCGATTTGGTGGTTGGTAGGAAACCCTCCTGACGAGACCCGGGTGTGCATGGGTTGAAACGGGTCGAGGAAAAGCACATTTGATCTGTGTTTTTGGAGTTTCAAGACTAACTATGTCTGTTCTCCGTCTGATGCTTGAGCATTGTGGCCGCTGTTCTTATTTCCCTGAACTCCTGCCCTTGCGTTTGTTTGGTGAGGTTTGTGCTTTAATAATTCTCAGTCGCATGTGCTTGGATGCCTTAACGTGGGCATGCTCGCTTTAAACTTTAAAGTTTAAAGGCATATCTGAGTGCAAGCCCTTTTCTGAGTGTTCTTTGGACATACTGATGAGGCAACTTGGTGCGATGTGATCATGGAGGTTTTAGGCCCCCAAACACACACACAAAAAAAAGGACACTAATAATGTGTGCACAAGGGCAGCAGTGCGCCCCTCAATGCCCTGTATGTGTCCCCAGTGGGGGCGCACATCATTATTGCGCAATGCACTGCACGTCTGATATGCACACAGTTACAGACATAATGACCATTTTGGCATTTTGCCAAATTTTCCATGATTTGGTTAATTTAAGTAAGACATTATCTGCAAGGCTGACCTGTTGGCAAACAGATGTACGATAAAAGAAAGGAAAGGAAAGAACAAGGCGGGTACCTACATGGCTTTTTTTTTTTTTTTTTTTTTTTTTTTGAACAGGTCCTTGTGGTCCTGGCTCCATATCCATTCTGGGGAGCGTCAGTCCGGTTCCTTTCCACCGGCAAGTCAAAATTGGAATACATGGTGAACACTCTCACGCTTCCTTCCGTCTGGCCGAAGGAACCCCGACCAGCATTGATTGCTTATCTCAGGAGGATTGACTGTCAGCTTGCCCTACCTCTTTTCCTCTCAGTGTCTACTGTGTCTCTGTCAGATACTGCATATGAAGCTAGAAAAGAGGAGAGTTGTCTATACTGTTGAAATTATGATTTCAGTTTACTTTTCGCTATGTCCCTGTCCTTGTGATGTTTCACTTCTTCCGACCCCTCTGTTATCCGCCACGATAGCAACCCTTCCCTGTAGTGGCCAGTCTCTTGTGAATGCCCGTCTCTTTGTGGTTATCCTTTCTGCTCAGTTGTTATCCTCTACCTCTGTTACATACTCCAATGAGTATGGGCAGAACCAAGGATCAACCAATGTAGGATGAGCATATATGCAACGGAAGTCTGACGAACGGACTGACTCACATAGACTGACTCACATAGCATCACTCCACACACATACAATCGTGGGGTGTGGGGTCTGAGCCATACATAGAAGATGCTC